TGGTGCTGCTGGGTGATGATGATGGCAAAAGGCGTACGAGCCCGACTCACATCCTCCAGAGCTTGAGTCAATGACACTTCTGTATTCAGGAAGATGAGATCCACCACCATACCCAGATCCCGAACCTTCCTGCCCACCGTCTCGGCATATTCCCTGCACGCAAACACGGAGCAGAGAATGTAACTGGTTCTCCAATAAAACATCTGATGTTTTAATCAGTGTTCAAGATCATAGTCACAGGACTCACTTTTGCAGCTTGTTGACGACTATGACGGAACAGTCCACTGGTCTCTCAGCATCATAGCGCTTCTGCAGCTCTTCATAATATTGCCGGTAAAGTTCGTTCCTCCGGCGCTCTTCAGGACGCACCCGCTCCTCTGTAAATTCAGAACCAAACACTTAAAGTTTTCACGTATACTCCTCCTCCGCTCCCTCTGTGACAAAAACTGTGTGCATGTAAATTAAACTTTGGTTCGCTTTAAACTAACCCAACTGAATTACCAATGCTGCTGACTATGACTGTTAGAACACTAGCGCAACCTCAAATAGCATGTATCATGTCTGTTTTCATATCACCAAAATAAAGAAAAAATATTTTTATATTGAAATATTTTAAGGATTTCTAAGATTTTTGCATTCACACAAAATTCCCATTACCTTAAAGCAGGGCTGTCTAAACTCGGTCCTGGAGGGCCGGTGTCCTGCAGAGTTTAGCTCCAACTTGCCTCAACACACCTGACTGGAAGTTTCGGTGTCCTGCAGAGTTTAGCTCCAACTTGCCTAAACACACCTGACTGGAAGTTTCTATGCCTAGTAAGAGCTTGATTAGCTGGTTCAGGTGTGTTTAATTAGGGTTGGAGCTAAACTCTGCAGGACACCAGCCCTCCAGGACCGAGTTTGGAGACCCCTGCCTTAAAGCAAAAACAACAAAAAGTGTCGTAGTAGTATTTGTTCTACTGCCTTTCACTATTGCTTATTTAAATAGAAAAAAATAGATTTTTCAGTAAAAAACAAAAACCTTTGTACAGGAGCATTACAATAAGAACTTTGGAAGAAAAACTTGTCAAAATCAGTGTTATTTTAGTATCCTTGATATATTACAGTTTCTATTAATATTTTCAATTATTTTAATTTTATTTTGTTTTCACTTTATTTCAGTTAGTTTTAGTTATTGTCATTTTCTTTTTTGTTTTTAAAATATCTATATATTTAAAATTGTATTAGTTTATTTAGTTTTAGCTATTTTAGTACTTCGAGTTAAACTAATTTGAAAATATTACAACTAGCTGAAATAAAATAATTTCAAGGTTTTTATTTTTTTATTTTATTTCAGTTGACCTTTATTTTATTTCAAACAACAAATGTTTTTTTTATTGATTTAGTTAACTATAATTACCCTGGTCACAATTTAAAAAAAAAAATCTTATTAAAAATAGAATTAATTTTCTTTATTAAATAAATCGGCTTTATTTCATGGTCGTAAACGATCAAACCAACCCTCAGACTCTCTCCTGCCGTTCCAGGGTTCTCTGAAGCGCTCTGGGTACGGCTCCTCTTTCTTCCGATAATAGTCGTACTCTCCGCGGTAATAACGATCATACCCTTCCTCTCTGTGGAAGCACAGTAATGTTGTTTAGATGATGTTGCAACACAGGAAAACGAGAGATATAAATGCAAACATGCAAAACAGCTCAAATGCATTGTGAGTGCACCTGTAGGAAGGATCTTTCTCCCTGCTCTCTGAGCCCCTGTGTCGCTCATCGGGCGGCCCTCTAGCATCATGCTCTCGAGGTGGACCGGGACGCAGCTCACGGCTATCGCCCCTCATCTCTCGACTGTCACGGTGGTCTCGAGAATCTCGCCCATGCACCGGGGACCGAGAACGGGGACGGGGCTCTCGACTGTCCCCGTAAGAGCTGGCTAGCCTGAACAGACAAAATGCACTCAGTCAACACATGCCAACAAAACACTTAACCCCAAACACTAACAGCTCAATTAGACACCTCACTGAGACAGAATCTTACCATTAAGTACTTAAAAGACATTATGTTAGTGAAATGGTAAAAACAAAACACTGTAAGCAAATGTAACAAGTTATTTTTACCAGAAAATCTCATTCAATTAAGCGCTTTCAGAGTTCGTTTCAGTCATGTTGCCGCAGAGCACAGACATGAGAGGGTGGTGCCGAAAATTAATCCAACCGGTCGCAAAATTCACATCATTTCTCTTATAAAACATACCTTCGCAAACTGCGAATATATATGGGAAAGATGTCAAACATTGCTTTTTGAGGTAACCATGAAAACCAGGGTCCATCTTTTAGTTTCCAAAAGTCAAATTTAAGTAAAATGAACGGTAGGTTTCAGGATTTTTTGTTTGTTGGTTTAAGTACGAGTTTTTAATATTAAAACTGCTTTACGAACCGCACTGTTCCACGACCGCAAAATAATTAAGTTTCAAATTATTTTCTTTTAAAACTGAGGTGGTGACGATGAATGGACTGGAAAGAAAAACACCAACCTCCAAATATAAATAAAACATCCAACAACTGAATGAACTGCATACATTAGTTTTAACTGTTTCCATCTCACTTGAGTAGATGAAATGATTAGGTTTTTGGGAATGTTTTAATGCTAAGTGAGTGTTAATTGGAGTGTCGACGAAGGCTCCAGCAGGAAGCAGCTATTGTCGGAGGACGATTTCGAAAACCGTGCATAGTAAGTGAACAGAATGAGTAACACACCGTTTAGACAAAGACACACCAAGGGAAATGTACTCAAATTACCCTTTCAACTTTATTTCAGTTAATTCTGACACAACTAAAAGTGAGGAAAAAGGGAAAGAAAATAATTAGAACAAACTAAAAACCGAAGAGCCACGAGAAATATAGATCGAACCGTTTTTGCGCACTCGACAATGATATTGATGCATTTTAGTACTTTCGATGAATTCCATTGTGGAGCGAAAAACGTTTACCAAAATTCTTGACAGAGGTCGTCTTCATTAGCAAAAATCCCAGCGATACTTTACCTGCGGGGAGGGCTTGACCTGGATTTATTCTGTCGTCTCTCCGCTGCCATATTTACATCTGCAAATAAACCAATCCAAACGTTCAATATGACAAAAGACGGGAATATTTCAGAGCCAAACGAGTTTTGGTTTTTTTCTTTCTCTTTTACTGAGAGGACCAACATTTCACATTCTGCATTGTATGAATCTAAACACGTTGTGTCTAAATTGCATTTAGAAATTTCCAAAATGTCAATAGCAGTTAAAAATGAAAAAACAACAGTTTGTGAAAAAAGCAGCAAAGGATCTTGTGAACCTGTGCATCATGTTTACGTCAGTATTTGATATTCCCCAGCTGTAAACACTTATTAAACACCTCTCGAATGATCTTATCTTACCTTATAGACTACTAACAATAACTGGCGCTTTGCACAAATAGGGTATAATACTCCATGGATCTTAGGGCTGCACGATTATGACAAAAAAACATAATTGTCCATTGTTCCCTTGAAATTGTGAAATGACAATTATCACAATTTACATTGAATGACGTTTATACCATTGTTTGAAGCAACTGCATGCCATATTTTTATATTAAAATAAACAAGCTGAAAACACTCTAACTGAAAAACTTTTATTGCTTTTCTATAGCATTAAGCCTCAAATGTCAACTATACATTGGATTGGTTTCTTCTTTAAATAATATTAATTAAAAAATATATATATATATGCATGATATTATAATGTTATACTAAAACTAAAATTAAAACAATGGAAAAACTTTAGATAACCTGTAGAAAGAAAAGAAAACCCACAAGCACTCAGAATAACATAAGTGGACTTTGAACGATTACGTAATTGTGGCATCTGTAATCGCGATTAGAAATTGTATTAATTGTGCAGCCCTAATGGATCTCTTTAAAAAATAAGTACAAATTAAATTAAAGCATTACCCCAAAAAACAAATGGCATCAAAATTATGATACTATTGTGTGATTTTAATTACAGTCAGGAAGATTATAATTTCAGTCAAGATGAACAAGACCAGTGAGACGGGAAAACATGGGATTTGCATATTAATTCATTTCAAAAAGTCAAAGGATACCAATATGCAACCTATTTGTGAAACGTTCTATTAGATATATAGCTTTTATTAATATGTACGAAATCTCATGACACAAAACGCTGAGAGTGGAGAAAAAACTAATGTGCAATTTGCATGAGGATCATCTTTAAGTTAATGTTTGGCTTTATTAGATTCACCACATTGTGGTTATTACAGTAAAATTGCAGTCATACAAATAACTGGTCCTATGATTTACTCTAAAACGTGATGTAACAACTCCAGTGTTTAATACTAAATCAGACCTTACCTAGTTTATAACCTTTATAAATTCGACCGTTATGTCCGGCTTTAGCGGCCTCAGCATCCTCCACTCGCTCAAACTGCACAAATCCATACCCACGAAACAGGGACAAAGCTGGAAAAAGGAACAATCATTTTCGTTTTACGCAAAAAGGCGCTTCTTTGTGGATTTTTGGCCTAAGCTTCCCTTGCTTTCAGCAAATCGCAACCATAGTCTTCAAACCAAAGTCTAAAGAACTGTGGATCAAATTATTTAAAACCAATTGTAGCGAACACTATAAAATAAATTTTTCCGAAACGTCTAAAGTCTTTGACGCTACTAACCCTGTATTTTCCCATATGGCCTGAACAGATCCTCCATGTCCTTCTTCGCCATGTGTGCCGTGGGCAAATTTCCAACAAAAATCCTTCGCTCCAGGTCACGAGGGTCATTGCTGTTGGTGTTGTACAAGGGTGGTGTACTACTCCGGCTTCTTCTGTGCGACATGCCTCTAAAAACTTTAGATAACCTGTAGAAAGAAAAGAAAACCCACAAGCACTCAGAATAACATAAGTGGACTTTGAACGATTACGTAATTGTGGCATCTGTAATCGCGATTAGAAATTTTATTAATTGTGCAGCCCTAATGGATCTCTTTAAAAAATAAGTACAAATTAAATTAAAGCATTACCCCAAAAAACAAATGGCATCAAAATTATGATACTATTGTGTGATTTTAATTACAGTCAGGAAGATTATAATTTCAGTCAAGATGAACAAGACCAGTGAGACGGGAAAACATGGGATTTGCATATTAATTCATTTCAAAAAGTCAAAGGATACCAATATGCAACCTATTTGTGAAACGTTCTATTAGATATATAGCTTTTATTAATATGTACGAAATCTCATGACACAAAACGCTGAGAGTGGAGAAAAAACTAATGTGCAATTTGCATGAGGATCATCTTTAAGTTAATGTTTGGCTTTATTAGATTCACCACATTGTGGTTATTACAGTAAAATTGCAGTCATACAAATAACTGGTCCTATGATTTACTCTAAAACGTGATGTAACAACTCCAGTGTTTAATACTAAATCAGACCTTACCTAGTTTATAACCTTTATAAATTCGACCGTTATGTCCGGCTTTAGCGGCCTCAGCATCCTCCACTCGCTCAAACTGCACAAATCCATACCCACGAAACAGGGACAAAGCTGGAAAAAGGAACAATCATTTTCGTTTTACGCAAAAAGGCGCTTCTTTGTGGATTTTTGGCCTAAGCTTCCCTTGCTTTCAGCAAATCGCAACCATAGTCTTCAAACCAAAGTCTAAAGAACTGTGGATCAAATTATTTAAAACCAATTGTAGCGAACACTATAAAATAAATTTTTCCGAAACGTCTAAAGTCTTTGACGCTACTAACCCTGTATTTTCCCATATGGCCTGAACAGATCCTCCATGTCCTTCTTCGCCATGTGTGCCGTGGGCAAATTTCCAACAAAAATCCTTCGCTCCAGGTCACGAGGGTCATTGCTGTTGGTGTTGTACAAGGGTGGTGTACTACTCCGGCTTCTTCTGTGCGACATGCCTCTATGAGCTTTAGGTTCAACGGCCCGTTTTCAAGGAACGCTTGCAGTTGATTTTAGTTACAAGACTATTTGATTAGCTATATTTCCCCCAAGGTCTTGAAATTGATGATGCATCGACATGTAAGAAAAGAGAGATTCCAAAGGTAAAATGACTGGACAAAGTAACAAAACACCGCAGAAGTCTTTAAAAGTCAACATGAAAACTTAATACATATCATCATGTATAGGGATGCGCCACCGATTCGATACTCAGTATCGGTATCGGCTCCGATACTGCCGTTTTCTGCCCGATTGGGTGTCAGTCAGACGAGACCGATCCAAATCCGATATTCTGCGTATACTATTCTGTGTTATTGTTAAGCACCACAAAAACATTATAAAGCACCATAAAGTTTTCGTGCACTATATTCCAAGTCTTCTGAAGCCATTCCATAGTTTAATGTGAGGTACAGATGAATATTTACAGATGTTTGTCATCCTCCATTCAGTATTAAAACTGCGTGTCGCCTTCGGTTATGACAGTCAAGACAATGAAACTCTCTCCAAGATGATTTAATGTTCCTATTATTATACTTGATCTGTAGATAAAGATCAATGGTTTTGCATAAAATGACTTTATCTTGCTGGAGTTTAGTGCTGTTTCTAAATCCTGTTACTTTCTACCGGCTATCTGTTAGATCACAACACTGGAGTAGAGAGCACTATGAATTGTTCTTCACGCGCACAGTAACTGAAATTTAAATCTGCTGTGATATGTAATACACTACGCATCAATATCTCTTCTCTTTGTGCAATGTGTAATATTTTACCAGATTTAGTCCTACACTTCTTCACTTTTATTTGTTCCCCACTAAATGTTTTTTCACTAAATGTTTAGATTTTATAAAATTGTGCACTCGTGATTTTTCTAGAGTCACTTTTGCTGCTGAAATATCCACTAACCTAGTTTATAATAGTATTTTTGTCATAGATTATGATTATATTTTAGAATTTGTTATTTTTCTGTATAATGAAGTTGTCTATATTTAGTAGATTGTGTTTAACACAAAAGAGTGATGATCAGGTCAACACGCAGAGATATAGAAATTCTTCACTGATTTAAAAAAAACTGCGCTAGTATCAGATCTGTGTCGGCCGATACTCAGAATTTTTGGTATCGGATCGGCTCTGAAAAAATGGTTTCGGTGCATCCCTACTAATATATAGCACTCAGGTCTGAATGTAGATTGATTGATTGGATAATTATTATCTAATTGAATATCCTATAATCCTAAAATACTGTGCCAATGAAGTTTCATGTTGACTTTAAAGACAAACTTGAGAAACTTCACAACAAGTAGAATTTCTAAGTACAGTTTAATTCACATGCTGTGTTTTGCTGCCTGATCGAGTGACATATGAACACTTTACAGTCATTCACACCAAATAAAATGTTGAAAATAAAAGTAACTTTTTGGCTTAGTGAGGCCTTGGATTTTGCAGCTGCACTCGAAGTCTGCAACATTCTCTTGCAAAGACGCTCCCTCAAATTGCTCTTTTAAATGAAACATATTTCTCAAGTATTTGTTGAAGGAATGTGGGTGAAGGTGAAAGGAAAACCTGTTGGAAGAACTGACCACAAACGGGTTTCCACGGAGCACGCAGCGGAAAATACGAGAGCTCGTCGTTGAAGATAACATCAAATCTTGAATAGACCTGAAAGAGTAGTTAAGAGTAGTTCTTGGGGATGAACATAAAATGCTCCCCAAAAATGTCTTGCAAGTTGTCCAAAGTTTAAAAATTCGCTAACTTCGGTATCCACAACATAAAGGCGATGCTTGAAGAAAATGATGGACCAAAGTCAAGTCAGTCAACATTGTGGACACTGGACATCATGGTTCAAGGGGTCATCAAATATTTTCTCTACAATAAAGCATTGAAATGACCAAATCTTATTTTCCACTACAACGCACATCTGAAAGGAATCGTCATGCAGTTTCTCGGGCCGTATGTTATTCTGCATCTTTTCGTCATAGCAGCAGGACGGTAAGAGTTCACAGATGCTGTAGTCTTTGTGGGCCACTTCGGCATTCTGGTGACATTTTGGTAAGTTGCAATGCTTTATCATCATACCCTGAGTTTCCAAAGCTGCTCAACACCTTACCAGGCGATTGCTGCTGGTCATTCCACCTAAATGATTTTTCACTTTTTTTCACAAGACTCTACCTCAAGAATATCAACTGTCTGAAAGAGCCAACAATGGAGAGTGAAAACATGAATTTTGTATTATAATATTTAATCAGATTACAAGATGCTATATACCATGTACTGTACTCTTAAAAATTAGATAGAGACAGGAAGTGTGCAACATAATAGGAAAGTTTTGACAGCATTTATTATAACAAATCTCAAAAGGCGAGTTCAACTGTTTTAAAACTTAATATTGAAATCAATTAAAATAAAACGATCAAATCAGGTCTTTATACAAGTTAAATGCATCTTAGTGTTAGCCGTTAAAAAGTCTGGGATCAGTAAGATTTGTAATGTTTTTAGTCTCTTTTGCTCATCAAGGCTGCATTTAATTGATCAGAATACAGTAAAATGGTGTAATGATGCTGAAAATTCACAGGAGTTAATTATATATGAAAGTATATCAAAATAGAAAACCATTATTTTAAATTGCAATAATATTTCACAATATTAGTTTTTTTCTGAATTTTTGGTCAAATAAATGCAGCCTTGAACAGAAGAGACTACTTTAAAACACATTAAAAATGTTACTGATCCTAAACTTTTGAACAGCGGTGTACATTTCTTATGTTTTAGGATTTTGACACTCCATTACAAATTTTAATACATTAATACTTGAATATTACATGTTCAAGAAGTAAAGCCTGAAAGACACCAGTTCCTACTGTCTCGCATTGTTCAACGATTCAAAACAATTAACTGCTACGATAAAATGTCGTGTGATTTAGTATTTTAATACTCCGTTACACTGTCTATCAGCCTCCACTGTCATATTTACAGTGCTGTTTATTATTCAAAAGGTAGAGACAATGAAAACGGGCCACAAGTGAAAATGGACAAGCATAATATCCTTGTCATCGCCAAACAGTGTTGTCACGTCCGTCGTTTTCCCGCGGAAATGGGCTACTTGTTTTTCATGTCCGCGGGTTGAAGCGACCTCAATAACGTGATATTTAGCCACTGGAGTGCGAATTTTACCAGGGGAACCCAGCCACAAAACGTGTGTTTTACCCCCCGTAACGCGACTTTTAACAGGGGACATCGTCGAAACGCGACCGGGCGGGTTTTGTTGTGAAAACCTGGCAACCCTGGCGCCGCACCAACGCTTCAGCCATTTTGAGACAGTGTCGTGACGTCACGCGAAATTAAACCGTGTAAAAGAACGCGCACATGTTACTGCAAACGAAAGAGACCGCGTATTCCTGTGAAAAAAATCCATATCGTCCATATTCCGTGGGTTTGAAAGCTGTACGGAAAACCGCGCACACTTCTGCTAATGTGGGATTCGATCAGACGCCATGTTGCTCCGTAAATTCGCACAGTAGAATTCGCTCGTGCGAGGGTTTTGTTTTTATTTTATTTTTTTCACTCGAGTGCGTTTGTGTTCCAGTTGAACGATTCAAACATTGCGTACTTACTACCAAAACTACATCTACGGCTTTCAGCAATCGAAAAGAACAATCGATGCTTCGACTCACACGGCGGCTAACAAGCTAGCTTACATTTAAAACAACGAATGCCGTTGGAGCGCTAGGATTTTCGATTCATGAGAAGAGTTTTGTCAGATCATGGAAGCGAAGCCTTACCGTTACCATGGGAACCGAGAAACTATCCGGTGATTTTCTTCGTGGCGTCCCGTTTGTGCGAACAATTACAATGAAAGACCCGCTGCTAAACTGCCGCAAACTTGCGGTGATCCTGTGCGGAACTGCGAGTTGCTTAGAGACGATGTTTTCAAAATAAAAGTACCAGTTCTAAAGTTCCTTTGAAAACAACGATTGCTGTACAAATAATTATGTTTAAAAAAAAAGCCCTTGATTTTTGTTTAGACCGACTTGCAAATGCAAAATAAAAATAATACATTTAGAAGTACGTGGTATCTTAAAAATTAAAGTATAAATTGTATTAAAAATGTATAAACCTATTATTTTATTTTTAATTTATCGTTGTTTTACGTTCACAAAATTAGCACAAAAAGTGTTTTATAATTTATTTCCAATACTGGCCTCAATGTGGATATGAAAATAAAAATTATTGTTTATTTATAGGTTGTTTTCTTTGTTTTTAGAATATTTGACAACTTAAATGCCGTATGCTTTTGACACAGCGGACGCAAAACATCATGTGACTTCATCACGGGCAAGTTGGAGTCACATGAATTTTGGGAATACTTAAATAATTTACTAGCCGGTTAACATTTGGGCTCCCTCGCCTGAAAAGGTAAGACTAATCAAATAACACTGTGAACAATTTTAATCTTTCTTTTGCTGAATAATATCAGTCCATGCCTCAGATTTCCACCGTCATTGTCGGATAAACCCTTAATTTCCTGGTTCGTGTTCTGAGTTACATGAACAGTTATATGGTTGTTCCTTTGGTTTTTGGTGCCCTCTTTGCTTCAGATTGTTATAACGGATGAGTTTTCGGTTCTGTTAGAAGGTTAGGTTAGTAACTGTGGTGATTTCCTGTGTTTCAGATGCATCTTGTGCTGGTGTGTTTGCTGCTGGGGGTGCTGGAGGTTTCTGGGGCTCCAGATGCAGATGAGATCAAATATCTTCCTGGACTTTCGAAACAGCCCAGCTTCAAGCATTATTCTGGATACTTCAATGTGGCAGATAACAAACACCTTCACTACTGGTAAGCTCGACTTTCACTTTAATTTAATTGACCCTAAGAATGGTTTTGTAAATTCCCAAATGTAAATGTCCACCATTATTGTGCTCTGTTCCTCTTGATCAGGTTTGTTGAGTCTCAGAAAGATCCGGCCGGTAGTCCGGTTGTTCTGTGGCTTAACGGAGGACCAGGATGCAGCTCCTTGGATGGTTTGCTCACAGAGCACGGACCTTACCTGGTGAGAATTCAGTACACTTCTTTATTTAATCATACTGATGGTTCACAATTAACTTAAGTTAAATATTTAAAAACATAAATGCTTTAAATAATGTGCATTATCCCTTCTCTCTGGTTATTCACAGATCCAAGATGACGGTTTAACTCTGGAATATAATCCTTATTCTTGGAACAAGGTATGGATTCTGTCTTTTTTTTGTTTTGTTTTTTTGTTAAAATTACTTAAGCATTACCAAATGAGTTATTTCTGTGGTGTGAAATGAGTCACAGGGCCAGTTTTC